TTGGCCACCTCATGCGAAGAGTTGACTCATTGGAAAAGACCCTGATGCTGGGAGGGATTGGGGGCAGGAGGAGAAGGGGACAACAGAGGATGAGATGGCTGGATGGCATCACTGACTCGATGGACATGAGTTTGAGTAAACTCCGGGAGTTGGTGATGGACAGGGAGACCTGGCGTGCTGTGATTCATGGGGTCACAAAGAGTCAGACACGACTGAGCGACTGAACTGAACTAATGTAAAAAGCATGGTTATAATAGAAAAGTGAGGATCTCATGTTTGTTATTGTTTAATCACTCCGTCATGTCCGACTCTTTGTGACCTCATAGACGGTAGCCTGCCAGCCAGGCTCCTCTGTCCATGGGATTTCCCAAGCAAGATTACTGGAGCTGGTTGCCATCTTCTTCTCCAGGGGATCTTCCCAACCCAGAGATCAAAACCTCATCTCCTGCATTGCAAGCAGATTCTTTACCACTGAGCTAACCAGAGAAGCCCATGTTAGACATCTAATAAATATTTATCTATTGGTATAATAGTGACTTGTATCTGCATGTGGCTATGAGGAGGAAAAAATGATCCATTTACCACTCTATTAAACAGATAGAACTATTGATTCGCAAACTGATTCTGAGACAAGATTAATATAAGTTATTTATTACATTTCTATTGATTAATGCTTCTCAGTCTTAAACTAGGACGAATGTGGGCAAGTTATTTTATAGGTATGATGTGTGAAATGAAATGATTTGGGTCTGTTAGCTTCACAGTGAGTTAGAGATAATTTCAGTTCATCTGTCTGTCTGCCGTCTTCCTGTTTTCTTCTGGGGATAGAGTTTGTCTTGGAGAAGGCAATCCGTGTCGTTTGAGCGGGGTACTGTGTCTTTGTGTCTCTCCACCTGCTCCCTCCCTGTGGTCACATCACCCCCTCATCCCTAGAATTCATGGCCATGGTGGTTCTGGACTTCTGTTTTGGAGCTGTCAGGAAATTAACTTTTCTGCTGGGGTCACTAGGAGCTTGAGCTTCTAGGGCTGCCAGGGCCATTTTGCTTCCTGGACGACCTCTGCACGCAGGAGCACCAGGAGGAGACTCGAGAGATAGAAAGAGCCAGAATCACGGCAGTACATGTGGCGCCAGACTCAGAAATTCCTAAAGCAGGCACAGCCCTGTTGCAGGACATAAAGGCCTGATTTTCTCTGAGCTGGTTTCGGTTGTGTTTCTGCCATTTGCAACCCCAAGAGTCTGCCTCATAGAGCAGCTCCTAGAATAGTGGAGGGCAGGAAATGAGGAGGAGCATCTGAGAGATGGGAAAGTGGATGGTGGGGTCGGGACCCTGGGTAAGAGAAGAGATTTTCGATGAAAGGAGTTCCAAAAGGTTGATGGGTTTTTATAAGGGAAAGAGACTGGGACAAAAACTTATTTTGGCAATGAACATAAGTGGAAAAGAAGTTGTTTGCTGAGGAAAAAGCACATATCATTCCCTCCTGGACAATGCAACTGCTCTCATGTTTGATGTCCTTACAGTCCTCTGTTGGGACATTGGAATTACAGGGATAGACCCATACTGGGGTGGCTTAAGCTAGAGATCCCCTGGAGGAGAGCATGGCAACCCACTCCAGTGTTCTTGCCTAGAGAATCCCATGGGTAGAGGAGCCTGGCGGGCTACAGTCCATAGAGTCACAAAGAGTCGGACGTGACTGAGCGACTTAGCACGCATGCACGCAAGGCTAGAAAAGGTGGAGATGGAGCCTTGGAGGTAATAGATCCAAGGCGTCAATGTGGGACCTCTCCTCCATTTCCATTTACCCTGCTCCGTGGCCACAGGCAACCCAGGAGGAGGGAGGACATACTTTCCTGGGCTTTTGGTTTGTTAAATCCCCAGGCAGAGACTGTTTGAATGAGATGCCCACTCAGTAAACCAGCTACTGTGTCCAGGTATGGGGTAAGGCACGGGGTGACATGGCCATTTGAGACCTAATGACCGGAGCTTTCACAGGAGGGGCCTGAGATCGCGGGTCTGGGCTGAGCGGTTGTCCACGTGCATTCCCCAGAGCAGCGGACCACTGCCGGTGTTATTCAAAGCAAGGAGGATGCATAAAAAAGCCAGTGAACAGTATGTTCTAAGGGCTGGTAAGACTGCATTGATATTTTATTTTCAATACTAGTTGTAGGAGTTTTACTTCTCTGGCTCCAAGTAGTTGGAGCCAACTGAAATGATAATTACATTATGAAAAGATGGTAAAGCACAGGGGGAAAAAATGTGAGTAGATGAAGCCAACTCTTATGTTCTAAAATGCTTAAATGTCTCACCTGAAGATACACTGCTTTATGTTCTGGGAACATGGCTTCGAGGCCAGACCAAAGCCGTGAACCTCCCTGAAAGGCATTACAGAAAACGCATGAGAAGCAGCATAATGAGCTCTGATCCCGTGGTGCTGGGAGGACTTGTCGATCCCTCCCTGAAAGGACCCGAAGGTCTTGGTTAGCTGCTGTTGCTACCCAGATATTGCTTGTCCTGATACATTTCAGCATCCGTGAGAGTCAGAAACTGGTGCCAAGTTGTGGCATCCTGGGGTTCAGTTGCTGCGTTCTAGGCCTCAGTTCCCATCTCTGAATGGCTGACTTGCCAGGAACATAGAAACAATCACGTCTCTTTTTCATCCAGATGAAATAATTCAGTAGAATTCCTGAACTGAGTATGTGTGTGGGTGCGTGCGCACAGACACTCGAGAACTGCCAAGAAAGTTATTTACACAAGAGTTTCTGTGTTATATTGGATAACACCTTACCCACATTTAAATAACATGATTTGTAATTGGAATCCTCATTAGTCCTGTGAAATCAAATTAATAGGTCATGAAGGAAAGATTAATAGAAATACTTACAGAATGTGTTTGAATAATGAGGGAGGGAGGGAAGGTGAGCAGACGGGACGTGTGTAACTGGAACTCCTTCAGTAGGGAATATAGACTCTCACAGGCAAAGAATTTTTTAACACTTACAAATCATTTCAAAGTGTAACTCACTCTACAAATAGATTTATTTTCAGGGATGGTTTATTTACTATGTCGTTTATTGAGTGCCTATTTGTATAGCTCTCTTTGACATTAAGGATGATAAATTCACACATCTTAGGAAGCCTGTCATTGAGACCATAGATAAGGTGGACATATTGAACAGTTTTGTTGTGCTGTTGTGCTGTCGCTCAGTTGTGTCCGACTCTTTGCGACCCCATGGGCTGTGGCCCGCCAGGCTCCTCTGTCCATGGGATTCCCCCGGCAAGAATACTGGAATGGGTAGCCATTCCCTTCTCCAAGGGGATCTTCCCAACCCAGGGATCAAACCCACAACTCCTGCGTGGCAGGTAGATTCTTTGCCACTGACCCACCATTAACTACTTTTTTAAACAGTGGCCCTGTTGAAAGTTGTAGAGAAGAGGTCTGTATCAGTTAAGGTTTGATCAGGATGCGAGAACCACTGTGAGCGATACAAGGGTCTACCATAGGGGTCAGGCCTGGTGCAGATCCCTGGTAAGGATGCCATGGGCTGGTGCAACCCTGGGTGTGATGCAGGCTTTGTGTCTGGTGCTGGGCCTGAGGAAGGCAGAAAAGAGCAGGCAGGAGTGACCCAGAATCCGCAGGAGGATCCTAAATGTAGGAGAGCAGACTGGACCACGGTGTCCGTTACCCGCTGCTTTCACACCTGCACCTTTGATGATGCAGATGGCCTGCAGGAGAGCGGCGCGCTTGGCCATGGAGCAGCACGCAGACGTGGCCCGAGGTCCCGAGACGTGGACGAGCTCGGGCGTGGGCTGCAGCCCGGTAGGTGCAGCAGGAGCCGGGGCAGCTGCGGGCCCAGGGTGCCTCAGGGCCAGCAGTGCGAGCCGACAGGTCCCAGCTGCTGTGTGTAGCCACAGTCACGCCTGACCTCATGCCAATTTTGCAGGTGTAAACATGGCCACTTCTGCACCCCCAGCTTCCAGGTGCTTCTGCGGGTGCCCCAGAGCCAGAGCTGGGAGGAGGGGGCGTCTGGGCGGCCTCGCTCCCGGGGAGCTGAACAGACACGGCAGTGACCCCTCAGGGCTCGCACTGGTCGGCCTAGCGCTCGGCACGCCCTTCAGTCGTGTTTCCAGATAAGGTGGTGGCAAAAAATTACGTTAGTGAACAGGATGAAATTCTCCCCCTTACAACCAACAAGTCACTGACGGACTCCTTGAAAGAGGAGGCAAAGCCCCTTTATTCATCTCTAGGGCATGTTCATTTCTCTTCCAGCTGAGTCACAATATCCCTTGGTTCTCTGTCACTGTCATCCTATAGCACAAGAGTAAATACTATTAACATATATTCAGTGGTAGGAAATGGGGGGCTTCCCTGGTGGCCCAGGGGTAAAGAATCCGCCTGCCAAGCAGGAGACACAGGTTCAACCCCTGGATTGGGAATATCCCTTGGAGAAGGGAGTGGCAACTGACTCTAGTATTAATAGGCAAAACCTGGAAACAACCCTAGTATTCAGCACATGAATGGATGTACAGCTGAGTCATGGTCTCCCTCTATCCTTTGTAACTTCAATACTGAAATGTGAGAGTAAATGCTATTGACATTTATTCAGTGGTAGGAGAATGGGAGATGATTAAATGCTTGTATACAGCCCCATCTGACTTCTTATTAATATTTCCTGGCCTTTGACTCCAGCAGCCTATTTTCCGAGGTCAGCTGATTCTTGGTTGATTCAGTCTTCAGGATGCCTGAAAGATTCTGAAATTGCATATGGCACTAATGCTCTAAACCTGAAACAGTGGCTTTGAAGAACGCAACCATGTACTTAACCTGTGGTTTTCAGAGTATTGCATGTTCCTGACTGAGAATTTTTCTCTCAAGAGTACCAAGAGTATTCGCAGTATCAAAATTAAAACAAAATTTGGAAAAAAAAAAAAACTGTAGAACTAAAGCAGAAAGAAAATAACTATTTCATGCTGTATTTAATTTTTTTTTCAATCTTTTTGCAGTTTTTTGAGGTTCCGTTTGATTCAAACATGAACAGGACAAAGAACAGACCTCTGGTCCGTGGACAGATCAGGTAAAATCTCGAATGTGTGTCTCTTCCATGTTACAAATCGTTCCATTGCGTGTCCGTCCCAGATCATTTCCCTGTATTTTTTAAAGTATGTATTTATGTGGCTGCATCAGGTCTCGGTTGTTTCCTCTGGGATCTTTTGTTGCCGTGGTCTGACTCTCACAGTGGCACGTGGGCTTAGTGAGTGCACAGCGTGTGGGACCTTAGGTCCCCAACCAGGAATGGAACCCCGGTCCCCTGCATTGCAAGGCAGATTCTTCACCACTGGACCACCAGGGAAGTCCCCTTTTCGCTGTATTTTGCCTTGAGTAATAAAGAGAGAAGAACACTGCCGCGCCCCACCCCTGCCCCTGGCCTCATGAGCACAGCCAGAGTCCATGCCTGTGTCATCAGCGTGAAGACTGAAGGGCGTCCACCCACCACCACCCCCCCCCCAACATAGAACCCTCTCAGTTCTCCACCTCTTGCCTCTGCAGAATTGTCTTGGAGGCAGATACTCTGAGGGCCCAGCCCTGTAAATACAGACTTTTCTTTTGTTCCCTCTTAATTTAACTCAGCCATCCTCAAACTTCAGTGGACCTAGTCATCGTTTCCCAGAACTGTACATGCATAAGCCTGTGTGTCCTGTATGGTGACTTCAGGGGATCATGGAGGATGACTCAGCTGAATCCACTTCCATGTTAGGGCTGACCTGCATGGGCTGAATGTTCTGCAGCTCGCAGCGTCTTGAGAAAGTCATCCTGGGGCTTTGTTCACCAGACTTCGTGCTCACGCCTTGCTTTTTACTGAGCTACTGTTTGTCTCTGACACTTCAGATATTGGAAAAGCTGACACTGAATACATACTTGATAAACAAGGCATATTGAAATAACTGGCTAGTTTTGAAGTAGTTACAGTAAAAGCACACCCTTTACATCTTAGGCCACAAAAATTTCTGTAACATTTTTGAGAATCAAAGGGAAAAAAAATCTTTACAGCTAAAATGCCATTTCATGGCCATAAACATCCATGACATTGCATTATTCTTTGCTTCGTTTTCCCAAGGAGAATACAGAGGACAGCTCTTTTAGCTGTCTGTCGGTTACCTACATAAAATGCCAATTCTGCGTGTCTAAAATTTTTAAGGTATAAAAAAAAAGCAGTTAAAAAAAAAAGCATTAACTATTTGGGAAAAGACTGCTTCTTCTCTCTTTAGCGGAGGGAAGAGGCATTTTTATATTAAGATGACATGTGCGAACCCCTCCTCACTCTCGCAGGGCCGGTCGTGAGTTCCTCTGGTGGTCTCGTCTGGAAAGCAGTAATTGCAGGTGACTGGTTCAGTTTCCTGTGGAAACACTTGACCCCGAGGCCCTCTGCTTTTTACTCTGGCTCCAGGCCTCTGTGGCAGAATTATCTATCAGAGTCTTTAATGGCTCGGGGGCCACCTGGTGAACTTGAGTACAGTGTCCTCCACATCACTGAGGAAGCATTCCTGAGGCCCGAGGCTGGACTGGAGTCTCGGTGCATTTGGTAGAGAGCTTGGCGTCTGCATCTGAGGACATCTGGAGAGAGGAGCTCCAGGGTCAGGATGGCGCTCATCCCCCCAGGATCGGCTCCTCCCCGCAGACCTGACCTCTGTTAACTGGGGCCCACACCCCCGCATCTGTGCCCCTGAGGCTGAGCGTCAGCATGGCCACGGCTGTGCCCAGGGGACCAGGGCTCTGGAGCCTGGATGACGCCGGGGGAAGGGGGGTAATGTGGGGGGAGCGGAACTTGTCCAGGGCAAAATCAAGACGGAGTTTGACGCTCAGAGCCGCCTGTCCTTCTGTTGTTTTACATCCTCACGAGTATCATCCTTCCTTCTTGCTGCTTACCTGTCACACACATGTCCAGTGTCCCTGAATGCCTTCCGTGTGATGAAGCTCTGTGTGTTGCTTGCAGCGCTGGTCCTAACCGGATAAAGTGGACTCCGTGGTTTTTGAGTGGCAGAGGGGAGGGGTCGGAGGATGAGGAGTGGTCCAGAGTAAAAGTCCTCAGAAGCTCCTCCTCAGACAGCCCTTGTTTCTTCCGGGAGGATGGGACCAGGTGTTGTCCACTGCAGGTTATCGCTGCCAGAATCTGACACCTGTTTTTGGCAGCTGGTGACCCCGTTTCTGCCTTCTGATCTCCAAGCTCGGGGCCTGGAGAGCAGCTTGCAGAGTGAGGGTCCTCGGCTCAGCCTCCCTGGGCCTCCAAGCACCTCTGCCAGCCCCACTGCCCCCCTGGGTCCTTCCCCTCTGACTTCATATCTGGATGAGCAGTCCTTCTGTCGCAGAGAAGAGCCTGTTCAGACAGCTGCTCCATCTGGTTTTTCTTCTCTTCTCTTTTAACTGCTGGTCTTCTAGAAGGCGTGGTCCCCTCATCGCTTCCACCCTCGTGTCCAGGCTACTGTTTACTTCCACCTCGTTCCTCTCTGCGTGTTGGGTCTTCAAACCCCAACCGTGCGTGCTAAGTCGCTTTAGTTGTATCCGACTCTGTGCGACCCCATAGGCTGTAGCCCACCAGGCTCCTCTGTCCATGGGATTCTCCTGGCAGGAATACTGGAATGGGTTGCCATGCCCTCCTCCAGGGGATCTTCCTGACCCAGGGGTCAAACCCTTGTCTTTTATGTCTCCAGCATTGGCAGGCAGGTTCCTTACCACTAGTGCCACCTGAGAAGCCCCTTCAAACCCTGTTTCCACTTAAATTGACTCATCATCAAACTGGGAACCTTGGCCTTGACCCCCAGGCCTGCTGGCCAAGTCCTCTGTGTCAGGTCCAAGGCCTGGTGAGAGAAGGTTTGCTGGCCAAGCCCTGGTCCAGTGCCCAGGGCTGAGGGCAAGGTGTGGGGGACAGTTAAGCATGGGTGGGGGGTCACGGGGGGATAGCACCCAGGCCACTCCTACATGGCTGCTTTTTCCAGTAGCCTGCTTTTTCCAGCAGGGCCCTTGGCCCTGATTCTACTTGATTGCCTTCTAACTGGGGTCCACTCCCCAACCCAGAAAATGCTCTGCACGTCCCAGTCCTTCTCTGATTCATAGTCAGAGCCTCGGGGAGACGTTCTGAGGGCTGATGTTAGGTGCACGCCTCCTGGACCCGGCCGCTCTTCTGTAGGTGTGTCTCCTGGTTCTAGTTGGGGTTTTCTGTCTTCTCTTCACTCTCCTCTTAGTTTTCAGACAGAACAGAGATATACATCTTTCTCTAACTTGAAGTCCTGCAGACTCATTTCTAAGATATATATATAGCTTGTGTATTTTTTTTTCTAAGTAATAACCTTTTCTTCCTGGTCTCTCCTAACTAAAATTAATCTTAAGGATGTCAAGACCAAATGTTTCTCTATATTTTAGAATTAAATAATTCCCTTGTTTAATTCAATTCATTAAGAATGTATTGATTACCTAGAGTGGAACCAGCACGGTCAGTTTTATTGTTAAATCATGCTCAAAAGGCATCGAATCTGGGTGGAAAAATTATGCCAAATGCATAAAATGCTTAGCAGATGAGATGGGGGCAGCCCATAAACATGGATCGAGGGAAATGGAATGAGGTATAAACGAGAAGTTCTCTGGGAGGTCAGAAAGGGAAGACTCAGATAAAGACCAGCTGGGCAGTGAAAGCTCCCTGAAGAAATCAGACATGGGCTGGGCCTTCTCGGTTATTTTCATTCCGTCTCCTTTGAATTATCCATTTTCCAGCTCCCTCATGTTGACAGGGAAAGAATACATGTCAGAGTTACTTTTCCCAACTTAATGGATCCAACGAGAGTGATCCAGAACTTGTAAGCTTTAGGTGTGGGCTGTGAGCAGAGAGATGGAGTGATAAGAGCAGAGAGGAAGGTTATTCTTCGAGGGGATAAATTAAAACACTCGGAATTGGGGGCAGCCCATACCTGGTTGTGAAATGAATGATGAAGATTGAGTTTTCGAAGTGAAATGAATGGATTGTTTAGTTGGCATTATTAACTTAAAGAACGAGGTTTAGCCAAAGTATTATAGGGATTTACAGGAGACATTTTTCACATTTACTGAAGGTTTTACCAGTAAGCACTTAAGCAAATGTAAACATTTAGCGGGCTGCAGGGGACCTGGGAATGTTATTCATCCCCCTGTCACGCTGGTCTAGTAGACACGTACCGGCCCGGGTGAAGCTCTGCAGGGTCCGGGTGGTTATGATTAGTCTCTCGGTGTGTATATACTGCAAATGTAATAAGAGCATAAACATTTTATAAGTGTAGAAATTTCTTTTTCTTTAGTGTTCACCAGTCATTAAAAGTGGCAGAAAGAACAGATTTGGTCTCAACTTTAAGAACAGTGATGCTAATGTCCGGAACTTTGTCCTTAAAATAAAATCATTCCATCTTGCCGAACCAGAGTAGGAAGAACAGGCAGAAGAAAGTCTGTTTTCGTATCATCATTCAGAGTCATCATAGTTTGTCATAAGAAGGAAGAAGGCATTCATGACTATTTGGAAGCATTGTGAGTTGTGAATATTTGTTGACAGCAGTCCTGGGCATGGGAGATCCTTTGGCCCCCAGGCCCCTGTTTACAACCAGAAAATACCTACAATATTCTAAGAACCATGAATATAAAGAGTTAACTATCACATCACAGTTACACAACCAATCCCTTGCAGTCACGTGAGAAATAAGTCATAGGAGCAAATACCTTTATTAATAACCTGGAATCATTTGGTCTAACCTCCTGTCACTTCACTTCCTCTCTTTTCACATGTGCTGTGCTAAGTCACTTCAGTTGTGTCTAACTCTTTGCAACCCCATGCACTGTAGCAGCCAGGCTCCTCTGTCCATGGGATTCTCCAGGCAAGAACACTGGAGTGGGGTGCCATTTCCTTTCAAATGAGACGACGTGAAATGATTTGCCAGCATTAAATGCTATTCCCCTTGACTGATGTTATGGGAGCAGTCATCTTAAGACCGCATTCTCTGTCTTGTCTGATTTCTAAGTGTTTGTTTCAGCCAACATTTTGGGCCCCAGCCTTAGGCACAG